GCGACCCTATAGGACAGAGTAGAACTGGTGGATTTGAACTGCTGATCTTTTGGTTAGCAGCCATAGCTCTTAACCACTATGCCACCAGGGTTTCCTGGGCACTTGTCAGACAGGTGGAATCTCAGGCCCCACCCCAGGCCTACTGAATCATAATTTTTACTTTAATAAGATATCCAAGTGATTCATTAAAAAAAAAAAAAAGAAAAACGGTTGCTGTTGAGTCAATTCTGACTCTTAGCGACCCTGAAGGACAGAGTAGAACTGCCCCACAGGGTTTCCAAGGAGCAACTGGTGGATTCAAATGGTGGACCTTTTGGTTAGCAGCCGAGCTCTTGACCACTGTGCGACCAGGGCTCCAGGTGATTCATATGTAAGTATATTTAATAATCACAGTTTGATAGGACAAATACCTTGTTTTTTTAAACAAACGAACAAAAATGCAAAAACACAGAGGGACAGACAGAGATGGAAGGGGAGCCTACAGATCAAGAGACTTCAGACAGCTATCAACCAAATGCAATATGTACCTGCTGTTTGAATCCTGATACGAACAAACTAACTGAAAAATAATTGTGAGAAATATTTATATATGCATTTTAATGTTCAAATCTACCTGTATACTTAGGTTAATGAATAGATGAGATCATGCAAAAATGGTTTAATTAGGAAAATATATAAAATAAATTTAATTTTCATAGAGTAGAGCTGCTTGTAATTCTGTAAGTACATACTAGGCAAAGTGAAAGCAAATGGACTTTGGAGAATATCACTGGATAATTTTACATGTTCCTATATAGAATGCCAGCATTTAAATGGATTACATTAACCGATCTATGAAAACCTATTAGCAGCACTGCTTGGTCATAATGAAGGAATCAGGGGATGGCAGGTTTCTCCAGGGAAACAGGCTGAAGTGGAACAAAGTGCCTTTGGGCCAGTCACTGACCTCCCGGAGTGTAAGTGGAGTCACCTGCAAAGGGATGAATAACAGCTGCTGGGCCTAGCTTTCAGGACAGTTGGGTTCAAATGCAGGAATGCATGTGACTGTGACCCATGAATTATAAAGCACTAGTCAAATGCCAGAGCCCTGAAGGCACAGTGATTAAGAGCTATGGCTGCTAACCAAAATCCACCAGCTGCTCATTGGGAACCCTGTGGGGCAGTTCTACTCTGCATTATAGGGTCACTATGAGATGGAATCGACTTGACGGCAATGGGTTTGGTTTTTTGGTTTAAACGCTAAAGGACAGACTAGATGCTGAAGGACAGACTAGAACTGCCCCACAGGGTTTCCAAGGAGTGCCTGGTGGATTCGAACAGCCGACCTTTTGGTTAGCAGCTGTAGCTCTTAACCACTACGCCACTAGGGTTTCCTTTTTGGTTTAGTCAAATGCTATTTGCATTTTTTTCTTTTCTCTTTAAACCACAGAGCCAATATGGTGGAAAAGCATGGACTTTGGAATCAGACAGAATACCTAGGTTTGCATGCCACACCAACCCCTGTGGAACTGGAACAACAGTCATTGCATATTCTCAATGTTCTCATCCATAAAATGGAAATAACATCCACTGGAATGGGCTGTGTTATTCCTTCCCCTTCCTGTGGCAGCCACTGCAGGAGGATTAATAGATTTGCCTTGCTGATGTCAGGTCTGGCCCAGGAAAAGGGACTGGAAGTGGCACGTGCCACTTCTCAGTGGAAGCTTTAAGAGCCATCATGTGATTCTGCCACCGCTGTCTTCTTTCTGCTGTAAGAATGGCAATGACCCAGACAGCAGCTGCTGGAGAGGACACGGTGTAGAGCAGCACTCCACCCACAGGTGAGTGAAAGAAGCCTCTTATATACAGTACAGTTGCCGACGAGTTGACACCAACTCATGGCAACCCCAAGTATGCCACAGTAGAACTGGGCTCTACAGGGTTTTCAGTGGCTGATTTACTGGAAGTAAATCACCAGGCCTTTCTTCCGAGGCACCTTTTGGTTAGCAGCCAAGCATGTTAACCATTTGCACCACCTAGGGACTCCCTCTTTGTTATATCCTCTGAGATTTGGGGAACTGTTAGTGCCGCATTATCTAACAAAAGCTGCCTAATACACTTCTCCATTCAGGATTATAGTGAAGATTAAATGTGATGAAGTAAACAGAGTGCTTAAAAAATAACAGATATTACTGCCAATAAATGTTCCCTTCTCCCTGCTAGCATTAATGAGGCTGGTATTTTTGCTCGGAGCAGCTGACCACCACTGCCCCTACATGCACATCAGAACCCTAAATAACCCCAAGAGCTGACGTCACGAGTTTAGGGACCTAACATTTACTGAGACCTACCACATGTTCAAAATGCAATAAATTTTGTTATTTCAGCCTAATGGTTCTGAGAGATTTGTTTTATATTCTTTGTTTTCCAAGATAAAAATTTATAATTTGGGAAAGTTGATGGCATTTTTACGGGTCTGGACATAGAAAAACAAAAACAGCCTTCAGTAGTTCTGAGCTAAAACCTAAGTAAGAGAGACAAGAACTAACCGGTTTTTAATAAATTACAAGTGAAAGTGAATTAAATAATAACATCTTTCATTTAACTGCAGGAGTGGGGCCAAGAAATTAAGAATGACGACTGGTCAAAGCAGGTAACAATGTGGATTTGATGTGCGATTCACACACACAAACACATGCATACACACGTAGCTATACGTATTTGTATTAATATGTAAGCTTTTCCATAAGAAACCTGAGACTAAAAATTAATAAACAACTTAAGCAGGTTGAACATATTTTAGGTACAGCAAAGAACAATCAGACAAGACGGGAACTGAGAAGAAAAAATACAACCCTGTACTCAAGAGCAACAAGCTTCTTTACAAACACTTCTTTACAAACAGCCAACAGCTGTTTCGACTCAACTCAAGATTGACTACAAAGAAGGGGAAAGGAAAAGACCAGGAGTCGGTACTAGAACCAGCAGGCCTGTGCTAGGACAGGATTCAAAACGCCGTGTGAAGTAATCCAAGCCACACAGCTAACACCTATTGGAGGCAAGATCTGAACCAGGTCTACATGGATAATGTGCGTGATCAATCCACCGAACACCCTGAAATGCATGTTTCTAGAGGAAAAATACTATACAGATGTTAAGTAGTCTTGAAAATAGGTTTTAATTCTATTTAGATAACATGATCCCTAGACAATCGTGTTTTCTTTTCTAAAATGTTATTTTACCCTCAAAAGATTTAAATTTTACAGTAAGATACTACAGGAAAAAATATTGATTTTTAGAAAATGAAAGGTCCTACGTACAGTGCTCATTACTGGTGTTTCCTAAGCTAGACAACAGAACTACAGAAAAATAAGAACTACAAAAATAAGCTATTCATTCTACAGAAAAAAAAATTCATATAAAGCATTTAACTGCAATTCCTTTTCTTTCAACCTTACTTAGTACAGTAACTACTAGACATGGAATTTGGAGCCCTAGGGTGCAGTGGTTAAGAGCATGGCTGCTAACCAAAAGGTAGGCAGTGTGAATTCACCAGCTGCTCCTTGGAAACCCTGTGGGGCAGGTCTACTCTGTCCTGTAGGGTCGCTATGAGTCGGAATCAAATCAACAGCAACAAGTTTTTTTTTTTTTTGGTTATACATAGAATTAAGATGGGTAAAGTAGAAGGTAAGCAAAAAAGATGAAGACCCTCAACTAGACTGATACAGTGGCTGTAACACTGGGCTCAAACAGAGCAATGCCTGTAAGGATGGTGCAGGACCAGGCAAAGTTTTGTTCTGTTGTACATAAGGTCGCTATGAGTCTGAACCAACTGGATGGCACCTAACAACAACAATGGGTCCATTTTAAAAAGCTTATTGACTGTCAGTCAGTTTCAACAAGGCAGATTATATATCTGATATGCTAGCAAATTATAGAATTTGGTCAGCCTCAGTCAATACCTTCAAAAAACTGATTTTCAAATAAGATAGAACCATTTCCAGTTTCTCACTTGTGCTGTTCCTGAGACTCCCCTTTAGAACTACAATGCACTTCTACGCCTAGACTTCTCTTTGGAAGGTTATCCCAATAATGCGGCCTTGTAAATTCCAGTCTCTCCTGATTATGCATTCCAAGAAAATTCTCAATCCAATCTACCCACAGCTTTCAAAAGTTACAAGATCAGCTACGTAAATATTTAGCTTGTTGAATGCGCTTGTGTATTTTTTTAAAAGTTACTATAGTCTAAAATACAATTGGAATTATGAATAGCTCTTAGTATAAGCAGTGGAAGAACTTGTCTGCCGTTTTGTTATTTCACATGAATTTGTTCAAAGTTCTTATAGCATCATTCTTAGAATAATTCTTAAAATAATTTTAAGCAGCATTCTTAAAATAATTTAGTTTCTCCTGTTTTACTTAGTAATCCTCAATGTCTGTGTTGTCAGTGTTACTTAAAATGTTTTAAAACAATCTAAACTATAGCAGAGTTTTCCTTGGAAGACTTGTGTCTTGGTGGGTATGTGAAGGAGGTGACTCACAGGGATGTTGAGTGGTTTCCATCATCTTCAGTAACATTCCATTTCGAAGTCATCTTGGTGCTCGCACTCTTGGACAACCATTCAGCAGTAAAGCACCCATCAGCTGTTTCCCTATCACACTTAACACATTGGTTGCTGGGTCTAGGTTTTCACTCTAACAAAAATCATGAAAAACAACTATGCCAAATATCTACCACACCATGTGGGCTCTTTTACACTGTTCCAGTGAACCACTATTGAAGTAAAGCATATGGCAAAATAAGCGAACAAGTTCTATAACAGAAATAAGACTCCCAGAGTTGGATTTCAGCTGATGTGCAATATGAAAAAAAAAAAAAAAAAAACTAGACAAAATTTACCTTTAGATTGCCAAATGGTTACTTGCAAAGTTATTTTTCTGATCAAAGTTTTAATCTGTTTATTGCCAATGACATCCATCAGAACCCTAGAGACAGCATTATCAATTCTGGGGTAACTTACAAAGAGAGGAGACACTGGAGGTCCCCCGAAGAAACTGGTGTAACCCATCATCACTGTCACTGGAACTGGCTATGCTGTTCCTCATTTCCAGCATGGAGATCTGTGTGCAAAGGCTGAGCTGATGTTCCAACTTACTGACTTTCTATGAAGCAAAGTTTTAAGATATCTGAGTTTTGTGGCACATAAATCATATATTAAGCAGCATTTACTTTTCCTTCAAATAAGTCAGTGCATATAAAAGATTACCTGGCACACAGTAAGTGTTCAATAAATATTGGCTATTTTTTTTTATTATTAGCTATTACACTGACTATATTAAAGAAAATCACTATTAATTTATATTAAATTAATAAAACTTATAGCCTATTTATTATTCTGAAAAATAATAAGCACCAACTTAACTGGAGAAAAACCTACACAAGATGACTTTAAGAGGTCACCCATCCTTACTCATTGTTCCTGGAGATCCTTGATAAGCAAACAGTACTTATCATAGGAACAACGTTTTCCAACTTCTCTTCTGTAATTGTTTTAATTTCTTTCTAAGCAAATGTGGAGAAATTAAAATAAAATAGCAAAATTTCCAAGACCTATATACCTCTAAAATCTCTAGCTGAAGAGCAGCAGGCTTCCACTCCACACCTCTCTAGTCAACTATGGGCTTTCTGGGAGGGGCCTGATCAGGAAGACGTGTAAGACTGGAATGCAGCAGGGTGAAAATGCCAGCTTCCTGCTCATTGGAGTTGGTCAGAGTTTCTCTGTCTGCAATCTCCACGTTGTCCTGCCTTCTCTGACCAACTCCACCCTCACCTCCTCCCACTCACTTACAATTTCATTAGATTGCTTAAAAGATTCTTTGTGAAGAGGCTAGCACATCCTCACTACAAATGGAGGCCCCAAGATTTACAGACTCCTTACAAAGTAATGGTAAATGTAATAATTATAAAATATTTCCTTACTTTCCAGAAATGATTCCCTGAAGGATTTCTAAATTACAAGCACCCCCCACTGCACTTAAAACATGACTAACTGATGAAAATTCAGGAAAATATGTATTGCATAAAGTGAGGCATAACTCATTATACATATATACTTAACAAAACAAACTCAGAAAAAAACTTACTTTATCATTCAGTGTAGGATCATTCAGTGAGTAGAGCTTGTTCGTAATGTCTTTTCCTATAAGATATCTAAATATTTCATACAGGAAAGGTTCTGATTCCAGAAAGTAAGTTAATCTTTCTCTTGACCAGCATAAAAATTTGCAGTTATCATCTGCAATAATGGTGACCTGTCGAAGAAACAAACATCAAAGAAAAAAGAACATCATTTATATACATTATGACTATAGTAATTTGGGGGAAGAGAAGAGTAGAAAAATTTAGTGGATATTATCATGGCAATGATTTGTCAGATTAATGAAATTAAAATTAGGTCCAATATGCATAAAATTCTACAACTGTGAATAAAACTATGTTTAAAAACAAGAAATCTACAGACTAAACAAAAGCCAATACTCAGAGTTCCGTTGTCTCATTTTGTGGGGTCTTATAATGGAGGAATGATGACAGTGTGAATACTGCTGCTGTCTAGTGTGTCAATACTGCTGTATAGTGTGCTAGACTGATGTTCCAGCTAGAGGTATGATTTATGGCTAAATATTTCATTATACCTGATAATTACAATAAAGGTTTATGAATACAGCTTCAAGTAAACAAACGGAGGTAAGATTCCTGAGGCAACCTGTAGATAAAAGACCTTCTGCCTAGCTGACTCTGCAAACACACACTACCCTAGGTTGCTGTCGTGCCAATTCTGACTCGGGGAGACCCCATGTGTGTGTCAGAGCAGAATTGTGCTCCATAGGGTTTTCAGTGGCTGATTTTTCAGAATAGATTGCTAGGCCTTTCTTCCAAAGCACCCTGGGTAAACTTGAGCCTCCAACCTTTTGGTTAGCAGCGGAGCACATTAACCATTTATGCCACCCAAGGACTCCATAAAACACTAAATTTCATTCATTCTTGCAATATACATTATTATGTAAAGTATTAAAAAGCAAGGACGTCATCTTGAAGACTAAGGTACACCTGACCCAAGCCATGGTGTTTTCAATTGCCTCCTATGCATGCAACAGCTGGACAATGAATAAAGAAGACCGAATTAAAATTGACGCCTTTGAATTGTGGTGTTGGTGAAGAATACTGAATATACCATGGACTGCCAAAAGAACGAAATATCTGTCTTGGAAGAAGTACAGCCAGAAGGCTCCTTAGAAGCAAAGCTGGCAAGACTATGTCTCATGTACTATGAACATGTTATCAGGAGGGATCAGTTCCTGGAGAAGGACATTGTGCTTGGTAAAATAGAGGGTCAGTGAAAAACAGGAAGACCCTCAACAAGATGCACTGACACAGTGGCTGCAACAATGGGCTCAAGCATAACAACGATTGTGAGGATGGTACAGAACCGGGCAATGTTTCGTTCTGTTGTCTGTAGGGTTGCTGAGTCGGAACCGATCGACAGCACCTAACAACAACCACCTTATGCCAGATGCTGTTCAAGGCACTAAGGCTACAGTGGTGAACAAGACAAAGTCCATGTCCCATGAAGTTTACATTCTAGTGGAAGAAGCTCACGATAAAAGAAGAAATATGACCACCTTGGGTGGCGATAAGTGTACTGACACATATAGAACAGGGGAAAGTGGTAGAGAATGACTAGGGGGTGACAGTCAGACATAAACCACTCACCTCATATATGAATTATACTTTTAAACATTGAAGGTGGTCTAATATCTATTATATAAGTGGATCCTCAAAACTGCCTTGAAGATAAACCAAACCAAAAACCTGGTGACGTCCTGTCGATTCCGACTCATAATGACCCTATAAGACAGAGTAGAACTACCCCACAGGGTTTTCAAGGAGTGGCTGGTGCATTCAAACTGCTGATCTTTTGGTTAGCAGCATGAGCTCTTAACACTGTGCCACCAGGGCCTGTGACTTGAAGATAAGACAGGTATTATTCTTCCTCATTTTTCAGATGGCAAATGAGAGTCACGCGCCCAAGCGCTGAAGAGGGGCTTGGGGGTTAAGAAAATCAACGTCCCTTAGTTTTGCAAAGATGTTACCTACAACTGTGGAAAGTATAATTCATGTACAGTGGGGGACAAAGTTTATAAAGGAGTTGGAAACCATCTAGGAGAAGAAAAAGAAATTGCACTTGGGTGATATATAAGGCATTTAACTTCTCTTCAACCATCTAAATTACCTCAAGTTTCTACTGAGGTAATAATACTTTTAATATGATACTATAATTTTGCTTAGCAATTCCATTTTTTTATTGGTGGTTGAAAAATACTTTAAACCTGTTTAAATTACTATTAAATTTAATAGTAATAAACTATACCTACAGTACACATAAATAATTTTCAGGTCAACAGAGCAGGCATTTAGCTGGAAGCTGGTAGTCAGCATGTTGACTGAGCTCATTCTATTTAATGACTAATACTTCATTTTTGCCAAATAGTTTTGTTTAATGATTTTCTGTCAAACAGTCACATAAAGTATTTGTAATAAGGAATTTTTATGAAGTAATACAGGAATATTTAAAGCTTGGGCAAACTAAACTTTCTTAAGCTATTAGGCTACCTCAGCAGCGCCATGTTTGAGTTCTTGTGAAGAACTTTACTAAGGAAATAAAAGCAAATATGCAACAGAAGACACAAAAGGATTTCTTTTAGGTAAAGGATTAGACTATAAGTTTGTAACGGGGTTTGCCACGATTGTCTCCAGGCACTGGATTAGTCCCTCCTTAGATTCCAAACCAATTCTACACCCTCACACAGTGGGAAGACAGAGGCTCCATTACCTAAGAACAAGGGTGCCTGAGGGAACTGCTGAATGTGCTAGAATCGGAAATGGCAGTCTGACAATGTGACTGGATGACTGTCCACAAGGGAAAATTTATTATTTTTTTATGCATTGCACATTTCACACACCAGGAACATGATAATGACCTAGAAGTGATCTATTCAACTAATACTTATTGAGTTCCCATACGCACTAAAATCTATCAGAGTCAAAACCGGCAGATCAAATTGCTTCACAACTTAATCAAAATATTTACTTAATACTTAAGATAATGTTTTATTTAAATACAGTTAAAATTTAGTGCCAATTTTTTTTCCGTAAGAGCTTCGATATGTGTCTCCATGACATTCCTCTTCCCCTTAAGTTAATAAAGCTTTGATTTCCAGGCTTCACAGCACAATACATATTACTGACTATGGGAAGGCAACAGTGGGAGATAATGAACAAAGGAAAAAAATATAAATGGTGAAGTTCATTTGATATAAAACAACTGTACAAAGAAGAAGAAACCAAACACAAAGCACTTAATATTTCTACCTTCTGTAATAATGATATTCACGATGCTATCAACAGTTATAAGCATTATACCAAAAGGACTTGTCAACGCTTAGGAGAGAATGAGCCCTAAGTTCAGAATCCTTTTTCTCAGTTGTTTTTCTCTATGTCTATTATCACTATAATTACTAAACATTCACCTGAATCACAATCACTGTGCAATCTCAAGGGACGGTCATTGAGTTGGATTGCCTTTTCTTTCCCCTTTATCACTCTATTGGATAACTCATTAGCATCCCTACCAAAGAATGAAGATAAAGACATAAAAATTCAAAGGAAGCAGCTCCTTGTCAGAACACGTGTAAACTGTTCACAGAAAAAAATGAGATTAGTAGGTACTAAGCATGTGGGTGAGAAGTCTGACCATTGAGGACTTCACGTATCCCCTCTCACAGGTAATAAGAAGTCGGCCCTGGGAGCATATGACATTTTTCATTTGGGAACTTGCTTCAGTAAGACGCAATATACTCCTACACTGATGTGCAACTGCTATTTTCGCTCTTGAGTATGTGCCAACAGGAACATTTTGTAAACAATCAAAACACAATCTCTCCCCAGGGCTTACTCTGATGGCATTTGCTCCAATTGTACAGGATGCAGACTCAAATCACTAGAGTTGTTTTTATCCATTGACCAATCAGGAAATGCCACCCCAGACTTTATCCAGAGAAAAGCTGACTGGTCTCTGAGAAGGCTGAATAAATGTCCTTCACCGAGCTAAGGTATCTCAATTTTGCTCATGTTTTTGGAGTCTCTGCAGCAACTGTCAGGAACCTTTCTTAACTACCGAATCTCAATCCCCAGTACCGAAGAAAAAATAACTGTTGCTAGTGACAGAAATCCCTTTTGTTGTTAACATAACTGTGAAAATATAATATAAATTTAAGTCCAGTGGAAAATATAGTGCATGTTAGTATCCCTGGTCCCTCAGGGACCACTTGCTTCTGGAAGCAAAGGAGGTTTAGCTCCCATTCCCACCGTGAATCTCAGTCTCTTCAGAATTACATGGAACTTGAGGTATTACATAAAACCACCTGCTACTATACACAAGGGAAATGGATGCAACAGATAAATGTCAGACTTCGGAGAAAGAAATTGTGGGGAGGTCAGAGGAAAGAAGGCGAGAGAAAAGAAGTGGCCCTGTACCAGTTTGTAGATGGTTGTGATTACAGATACAATAAGAACATAAATCTCAGTGCACAGCTGACCCTCACAATACACAGGGTAAGAGAGTAAACTAGAGGAGAGAGGAGCCAGATACAGCATCAGCTTTCTGCTTCTGTATCTTCAGCCCAGTCAGCTTGGAAATAGCACTGTGCCAGTCAGCATATCTATAGGACATAACTTTAAAAAGCAGTGCAGTTACTCGTGCATTACTCAGGCAGGGTGGAAGCAGCACAGGGCTGAAACCATTGTAAATGAAGTAAACTAAACTGTATTTCTGTGAATTTTCCCCTTTATCTCCACCTTTGTGGCATCCCAAAATGGCTCTAAAATAAGATTTTGCCAACAAGAAATACTGACATTTTCCTCTCTCTGGTGGTAATATTCTCCTTCCATTCCATCTCTTACCTAACTAGATTTTCTCTCTTGCTCATAAGCAACCCTGTTCTCAGGATATTTCCTTATTGCTGTTTATCCAGAGCCTGAGACTAAAGGAAATTCTCACTTATCTTCTTGGCTCCTCCCACCAACAACGAAGCAAGTTAAATAGGAGGGCTGAGCACTTACAGAGAGAACGGGAACAAAGTGCCATGTAATGGGGCAATTTTATCTCAAGATACTAAAGAGCATGCTGAGTAGTCTGCGTTCAAACTCTATTCTTTGCCCGTAAGCATATTCATTAAATATAAAAGAGGAAAGGGATTAGCTTTTTGATAAAGATAACTGACAAAGCCAGTTTTCTGGCTTTCTCCAATAAGTGTTCAATTAAGTGTTTTAGGAACACTGATTATCTATAAATGACATTTTCCTTATTTCTCATAATAAGAATACTGGATGCTTTTTATGGAAGATTTAGAAAAATTCAAATAAGCAAAAAAGGAGAAATTAAAAAGCTATCAAACTCACAACCTAGAAATAGTAGTGTTAATACTATGGCCAAATTAGGCTATATCTTTCTAAGCCTTTTTTATGCCCATATATACACTATTCTAAGTTTTTTTAAAAATGGGATCATGTAATATATACTATTTAGTAAGTTCTGTTTTCAATAAATCATGGCCTTTTAAAATTAATATCCTTTGGATTCTGAACGAGACATGAATTCATCTAAATCTTAACTATCATACCAAAACATACCTGGAATTTTTCACCTTTGTGCATCTGAGTTGATCTAAATTCAGGAGAATCTATAAAGGCACAGGGGTAAATGTTATGCAGAAAATGTCCTCGATAGGAGACCTTCATTCTGATAACAGAAATGAATGTTAATAATAAACACAAAATTTTTCACAAATAATAAAACGATCCTTAAAATCTTCTGTCTTATCGGTTTATATTTTGTATTAAAGTCTTAAAGACTCCAAAGATGACTGACATAATTAAAAACACTTTGTAAGGCACAAGTATTTCTTTAAAAATAATTGGAAAAAGGAAAATAAAAGACAGTATCCAGTACTGAACCAGACATGTGCCCTCCCACCAACTGGTCTGACCCAAAGGTTATCATCTCTATTATAGCTGGAGTGACACTATCATTTATTATTCAAACTAGGACACTTTTGAGAGGGAAAGCAGTGGTATAAACAATTATACCAGAACCACAGACATTCACTGGGATTCTCCCCAGAAAACTGATATTCCTACCCACCCCCCCGAAAAAAAATCACCTCTGAAATGTTCAGAAGCTTCTTGAATTTTAATGTCTACTTTAAGTAGACATTAAGTAATTTTGACTCATTAACTTTAAAAAGAAAAGGTTAAAAAAAAGTTAAAATACAATCAAAAATCCTGATGTCAACAAGATTCACAGCAGTAAACTCTAACATGTGGCTCTATAGCATAGCTCCACAAAGTAGTTGTAAAATAAAATTTCACCAACAACAAGCTCTGTGTCCACCTCCTCCATTAGCTGGCAATATTCCCTCCAATTCATTTCTACCCGGAGGCCACGATGAGACTAAAGGCAAACTGGGAAGTTCAATTTTCACAGAGCACTTACTTTCCCTTCAGAAGGACACTCAGGCGGTCATCAACGGAGGTTTTGTCCTCTACAGCGTAAGTCTGACCCTTTTTCAAGGTTTGGATCATGCAAAACTGTACAGTTAATCTTCTGAACAAATCTGGGGACACACGGAGTGGTTCAAACAATCGCCGGTAGATGCCACTGAGTTCCTTTTCAATCTTTACCTGAAATACAGTAACAAGGAGATGCTGTGCTCATGCAGCAATACTGAAACACTGACGTCTGTAGTCTCAACATGGGTTTAAGGATAAACAAATCTTTGATGCATACCATCACCCTTCTGTATTAGGTCCACTGAATCTTATACAGAGAATAAGTGGTGATATAAATTTCTACTCTAGATTCTAAAAAGGCATTTCTGCAGTTAAACTGAACTCTAAGAGCATATGGGAAAGATCTGCACTGTTAATCACACTTCTTCTTACGGGCTATAAAGCAACTGTTGAAGTTCTGAATGTTCTCAGGACATTCACCTTCCCAATCTTTGCACCTTCTACAAATGACATAAAACCTTTTCATGTTTAGAATACTTTTGTATCACAAGAAGAAATTACACTAACTTTTAAATATTATAGCAAGATGATAAACATAAAATAGAAATCAATGTAGAAACAAATTTATGAAAATAATACATACACTAAGCATTTTATCTCCATGTAATTATTATTTAATATACTAACAGAGAAAAACAAACATTCACATCTGCAATCATTGCTTCTCATTTATTTATTCTCAAGTAAAGAAAAGGGAAAAAGAAAGATGTAAATGGCTTTCAGTGCAGCGGTTTCATCCTAAACCTAAATGAACTCTGTGGATTGGAGAACCTGCTGGTGAATAAGGCTGGCTACTGGAGGAAGTGAAAAGCAGAATTGCTTAATCACCTCAGAGCCCAGATTCTCCAAGGCCCAGGTCAGGTTACGTTTCCTTATTGGGTCCATCTTAGTCTCTGGAAGCCACGCTAATTGTTGAAGATGCAAAACTGTACTGGACTGTGAATGAACTCTGGGGTCCAGATCAAAGGGTCATCTGTCCCAGTGAAATCTACAGCAGGTGTACTATGACACTTACAGACCAAGGTCACGACAGCTGCTCAGAGGTCACTCCGGCATTTGCAATACTCTTACTTGTCCTGCTGTTCCATTTTAATGAAGAGCTAGTATTTATACATTTTTCAAAAAAAGTAGGTTTATAGTCCGAGAAGAAATAAAAACACAGACACTAAGTAATTTACCTACTTGGTGCTACCATCACATCAGCAACTTCTGAACCTTATGTTCTGAGATTTCAGCAAGTTCTAATAGTCAGGGACTGTAATCCTCATTATTACTATCATCTACCTACCCCACTCCAAAGCTCCAGTAATGAGCTTTTAAAATAATTTATTCACGCATGTGCCCTACTTCTAGCACGCACACTAGCCAATGTGGCACAGTAATGAACACATGAACTGAAGAATCTATTGACTCATATTCATAACCTGTTCATCCTGCAAATCTCAGCTCAAGTCCCAATTCCTTCATGAAGCTTCCTTTATTCTTCCCTCTTTTAAAGTACCCAGTCACCAAATGCTTTTTTCTTCTTCTCTTTGAAAGTACCCACTCGTCAAACGTTTTCTTTAAGCACCTACTACGTGCCAGTTATGGTTGATAGGAAGAAGAATACAACATTAGGAGTTATAGATTATACTATTTCCCCCCACTATTTGCTGCCCCTATTCCCTGTAAGAGGACTGTGCATCCTCTCATCACCCCCTCCCCACTTTCAGGTTTAGCCATGTCACTTCCTGTAGTGGACTGAACAACCAAACCCACTGCTATCGAGTCGATTCTGACTCATAGAGACCCCACAGGGTTTCCAAGGCTGTAAACCTCTATGGTAGCAGACTGTCACATCTCCCTTGGAGCCAATGGTGGTTTTGAACCTCTGACCTTTCGGTTAGTAGCCAATTGCTTTAACCACCACCACAAGGGTTCTTTAAGTGGATTCAATAGTGTCCCCCAAAAGGATACGTCCAAGTCCTAACCCCTAGTGCTGGTGTCCTTATAGCAGAAAGGACAGACAAATGAGAGACACAGAAAGACATAGGGGAAAGTCATATGAAGGGAGGCACAGATTGTAGTTATGCTACCATAAGCCAAGGAACACCTGGAGCCACCAGAAGCTGGAATAGGCAAGGAAGGCTCTCCTCTAGAGCCTTCAGAGGGAGTGTGGCCCTGCCAACACCTTGTTTCCACACTTCTGGTTCCAGAACTGTGAGAGAATAAATCTCTGTTGTTTTAAGCCACCAAGTTTGTGGTAATTCATTAACAGCAGCCCTAGAAAACTAATGCAACTTGCTTTGGCCAATGAAATGTTAGCAGAAGTGATGCATGCCATTTCTGAGAACTGAAAGAGACACTGGGTGTTTCTCTTTT